TTTTTTTATTTTTTCTTTTTCTTCTGAGTTTAGGTGCTCTAGCCTAAACTCGTTGTTTTCTATTAATTCATTATTTATAGCGAAGTTAAATGGTCTGTCCTCTGTTGAGGGTGGATCAAGGCACTCTTGTGCGGTCATGTCCTCTTCGACCTCTTCGTCGTTATATCTAAAACAAAAGTTAAATTCTCCTAAGGTTACGGATCCTTGTGCATAGTCTATTTTTGCTTGACATGCCTCAAGGTATTCTCTCCCAATCAGAACATCATAATGCTCTGAGAAGTCGTGAATATAGAATTTTTGTTTGCTCGGACAAATTTTGCTTGCTCCTAATCGTATACTTTGTTTTAATTCAATAACACCATTTATGGTGTGAACCTTTAATGTTTCGTTGTAAACTGGAAAATTTAAGCGGTTTGTTTTCATTAGATTTATGGTTGAACCTGTGTCGATGACACATTTTAGAACTTCGTCATTCATAATCAATTTTATGAATGGATTTCTTCTGTTTGTTCCGAGGCTTGCTGATGAAAATTTTCGGATGTATCCATTTTCATCTGCCCACTGTTACTATCTCTTTGACGTTTAGTCGGAGGGTTTGGTGCATTCAAGCGTGAATGGGACTGATTTTGGTAGTTTAAGGGATTTTGGTATCTACCTTGACTTAATTTCTGTTGGAACTCGTGGTGAGCTTTCTGATTGTCTTCGGACTTACTGTGCTGTTTATTTTGTGCGTGATAACTCTGATTTGTGTTGGAATAACCACTTGAAATGGTGGTTGGGTTAGCATTTTGCTGATAATTTCCCATGTTCCTACGATTGTTATTTGGATTTCCCTGAACATTATTATTTTTAGGTTTTTCAGTAACGCTATTTTCATATAATCCCTCTCTTTGAGCTACTTGCTTTAGTTTTTGTGTCGACGTAATGTCGTGTCTGGCTAACATCATGAAAAGCCTATCTGGTAATTTTTTTGTAATAACATCTTTGATTGTGTTATTCATAGCATTTGTATAAAGGGTTGTATTGCTAGGTATATTTTCTAGTGCTAACTTATTTAATATAACAAAAGATTTATTCTCGAGCTCCTCGATGAACTTACGGACGTTTCCTTGGTAATTCGTGTTGTATAAGCGTCGAAGGAGTTCTTCAAATGGTGTCTGCACTTTGTATTCTTCAATCAATGCGTTTCTCAGCTCCTGCCAAGTGTTGGCTGCTGTCCTTTGTGATATTCTCTGAGCATCTCCTGTGACTTGCAATTCGATGGCTCCGTATAAGATGCTATGTTGTCTAACATCTCGGGTTGGATACAGGTGTAGGATGTAATCTATCCTTTTAACGAAGGCGTTTAGTTGATCCGTTGATCCGTCAAAGCTTGGCACCTGTCTAAGTTGTGAAAGGGCCTGGTTGAGGTGTTGTTCTGATAATTCCATTGTCATCTTGGTGTAATACACTTTTTTTTGAATAGTTTTGAGTTTGTAGGTTTGAACTTTATTGTTCTTTGATTTTGCACTTTTATTTTAGGTTAAAGTTTGTGATGGATTATTGGTTAAATGTTTTTTTTTTTTTGTGTGTGTGTCTTAAAAAGACTCAGTAATAACGTATTGCAGGGATCAAACGATATGCAAAGCCAGTCGTTATTAACTGTAGTAGCTTTATTGCCCAAAGGGTCAATATTATTAAGCTACTAGTGACCCGAAGGTTCTTGTGCGGATACGTATTCGAGAAAATTTTTATTACACTCCGACAACACTTTCGGTCGCGATTGTGCGTTAGATCTGGGAATTAATTATCCTTTAGCGATCTTTAATTTTTCCCGACGTATCCTACCGGCTGCGCCAATTAAGTTTTACACGTTAGGTTACTATAAAAAAATATATTTCAATTTATTATTTTCACTTAACGGCTACTTTTGTTGAGTACATTCAGATTTGCTTCCCGAATATGAACTGATTTATCTAACTGTTGCGGTCGCTTAGCAAACTTCGCTTTGAGAGAGTTTGAGTCAAAATTGAGTGAAGTTTGAGCTGCGTCAGCAATTATGCGTGGGATAGTACTCTGATGGGAACATTGACAGTGGCGTGATATTTAGGGTGAATTGTTTATGTCTACCAAAGGGGGACAGTTTGATCTTGACCAATGTCGATGTTATCACCAGGCTCTTTGTTTACAATATTAGAAATGTTTATAATTGTGCTTATGCTTATGTGCTAAGTTATGTTAAAGGGTGGGTGCGACTATGGATATGTCACTATATATATATATATATATATATATATATATATATAGTTGTTATTTATAATATATAATTAGATTTAGCAACAATTCGAAGAACGCACTCTGCAAGTAGGTACGAAGTAAATGCAATTCGACAAACAAATTATAAATGCCCCAATGTATGCCCCGCTAGTTGCACTATGAATAAGTTGAATTCTCGCACGTGAATGCAATCAGCGCGACGCCAAAAAGGGCAGCCAATGGAGCCAACGGGGCCTGGCGCGAACCTGGCGCGGACCTGGCTCCTGCCCGACGGGGTAAGCGGCGGCAAATTAGTTGAGAACTGCGCAGGATAGCAAAATTGCTGCCATAAATGGCCGCTTGACGTGCCTTGGCCTGAAGCTGGCTAGCTGGCTGGCTGGCTGGTTGGCTGGTTGGCTGGCTTGTGCAGGTCAATGCCATTTGAGGGGGTAGAGGATTGGGATGGGATGGGGCACAACAATTAGCACAGCAGGCGAATCGAATCGATTGTAGCAGGCGTTGGGTTCAAGCTCTTACCCATTTACTATTCAGAGCTTTCCCTTTCGTACCAGCTAGTGTTACTTGATAAAAATTCTCTGTTAATCGCTGGCCATGTCTCTGATCCTCTTGACCACATTTACGGCCATTGTGATACTGCGCATCAGCAACGAGGGTGCCAGTAAGCTGGATCGCCTGCTCCTTGAGAATCTTTGGCTCTTTTTGCTCTTCCGCCTGCTCAACCATCTGCGCTTCGTCGCCAGCCTGCGCCGTCATATCTGGCGCTGCCTCAGCCAGCAGCGACACCGTCGCGTTGCCCTTGTTGCCCTCACCGTAATGCTGGCGCTCATCTTTAGGGGAAGCGGCCACAATTGCCTTGCTCCGGCAACCTCTTTGGGCTGGCTCAGCAGAGAGCAGCAACTGCGTCGCATCGAGTGCCAGAATCAGGAAGAGTTACCAATTGTTCAAAACGGCCAGAGGCAGCTAAAGCCAAAATTCCTCCCACTGATTATCCATGGAGCCACTGGTCAGGCGTGACACAAGGCGGATAGAGCCCAAATATCAATATCAGCATATTGTTGGCAATGCGTTAATTACAAAAGTTAACCCTTTTTTGTATTATTCTGTATTCCTTCTCATTTTCATGGTTCAGGAGCGAATTAAATCACCCGAGAGATCGACCTACATTCAATTCGCCATCTTTCAAAGAAATGTCTCTCTTTTTGGATTTTGATTAATTCATTTAAGATAGTCTACTAGATCATAGATCTATTTCAGAGTAGAGAGCAACTACAGACACAAATTTTTAACTTTGTCAAAAAGCAGAGGGTATTTAAAGCGAGTCATAATAGTGTCTCAGTCTTAATAATAAAGCTGCCATAAAAACAATTTGTTTAATTTTATCTTTTGGCTTAAAACCATAATATATTAGTATATTCACTATTCGGCGTAATGAAAATATCTGCTCTGTTTGGTTATTGCTTTAATGTTTAGGCAATACAAAAAAAACTCTCCATATGTAATTGGTGAATTTACAAGGCTACTCAGTCGCTAGCCGAAGCCCTTAAGGCCTCACTTAGTCCAAAGTGTTCCGAGTCTAGTTAGCAAACTGCAAAGAAGAAGTCCTTTTTTCAACAAAAAAAAACACTTCGAATAGTGCAAATTTCTGGCATGCAACAGAGCATAATTTGTACCAATTTTACCTGTTAAAAGCTATCCACTTGTTAAAATTGTTGGGTCAAAAACAAAGACAAAGCCTAGTCAACAACAATATTGTAGCTTGTGACCATTTAGTCTACCCCAATCAGGTGACAACCTTGTCATCTATTCTGAGGTGTCACAATTCATTAAATTAACCCTGTGGCAACTTAGCCAGCCTTATCTGATGCTCCACCTTGCTAATGCGATGTGGGGCGCCTCACCAATCAGTATAAATGCCTTGTCAGATGTGATAACGTGTTATTTTGATTCACATCGGCCATGAAAGGCACCGAGAAAGTTGTGAGGAACAGTTCTCTATTGTTTGAAGGCAGACAGTAAAGTCAGCTCATTTGCAGCCCGCATGCTGTTACCTTTAATATAAATCTAACCCTAAGAAAAGAAAGCTCCAAAATCTAGTTATTTCTAATGATAAATTGAGGCTTTTAGACTTTTAGTGTTGTTCAAAACCTTTGAGCGAACCTAAACAAGAACGTTGCTAAATAATCAACCTTTACCTCAACCCCAGGTTTACTAACTGATGAGGCTGCAGTGAAGTTTCCTTCTCATTACTGACTTTTGGGATGAGTCAAATTTAATTTATTGACTTAATTAGTTTAATATTTTCTTATTTAAGATAAGTTTAATATTTCTTTTAACAGGGAGAGAGAAGCATCCCCAACCCCATAAAGTATATATATTCTTGATCAACATCAATAGCCCAGCCGATCCTCGCCCGTCCGTATGTATGAACGCTAGGATCTCTGAACCTATAAGAGCTAGAGAAATTTTTAACAAAGGTCCTCCTAGTGATAACTGCCCCGTTTCCAAGTAATCGATACAAATCGATGTCGAAATCTCGTTTATTGTGGAAATCCCTTAGGTTCTTAGAGCTAGAGTCACCAAACTTGACATGTATCCTCTAGAATATATATATCTAGTATCTTCCGACTAGAGCCTCTTGCTTGCATCTGTGCTATTTTTCGAGGATTACATGTTCTGTATCGTTAGGTTGCTTTCTATTGATTATAATTTGTGTCTCTCGCCTCCTTCTTTTGGTTCTCTGGCAGATTCACATTGTCGTACATATTACTTTGCTCTGTCGCCTGGTGTTTGTATTTTGTGATCGATGGCGGCTCGGAGGATTTTTGGCGACCCATCTCAACATCGTTCTCAATGATGTCGCTGGTCACGATAATGGCCATGTGCTTTACACACTGGAACCTGTACAAGGAGCACCGGACCCTAACTTCGGCACTGACAGCGCTCATCCTGTGCAGCGCCTCGCTCGCGTTTCTCACCTACACGGGCAGGGCGTTCAGTCCGCTGGGTCATTTTGCCATTTGTCTGGAGATCGTGCTGCTAATCTACACAGCGCTGCCCATGCCGCTCTGGCTGGGCGCAAGCATTGCCATCTGCTATTCCATCGCCTTTGAGCTGGTCTCCCACATGGTCATTGATGTCAGTGCCGTGCATGCGGCGGCTGGTGGACCAACTCCAACGGAGGCAGCAGCCGCCGAGGGTACAGCAGCAGTGGAAGGCGGCGGCACAAGCGGCAGCGATCCCAGCCACAAGATTCTGATGCTCCGCATCATGGCGCACCTGAGTGTACATTTGGTGGGTGTGCATGTGCTGGTCATGAATCTGGTGCGCATGCGCGGCACCTTCATGAAGGTCGGCCAAAATTTGCTAGTGCGCCGCCAGCTGGAAATGGAGAAACAGCTCAAGGAGAAGATGATACACTCAGTGATGCCACCCAAGGTGGCTGACATGCTACTCAACGAGGGCGGCAGCGGGGGCATCGACCCTAGTCAGCCCCCGGAATCCCATTACATGCGTCCGCGCGCCTCGCACGATGTCAAGTCTTTGTTCCGGCCATTCCACATGCACAGCATGGAAAATGTTAGCATCCTGTTTGCCGATATTGTTGGCTTCACGCGCATGTCCTCCACCAAAACGGCCGAGCAGCTCGTCGAGATCCTAAACGATCTCTTTGAGCGTTTCGACGACCTATGCATGCTCAGCGGCTGCGAGAAAATTTCTACACTTGGCGACTGCTACTACTGCGTCTCCGGCTGCCCCGAACCCCGCGCCGATCACGCCATCTGCTGTGTCGAGATGGGCCTCGGCATGATCGACGCCATGCGCTGCTTCGATGCCCAGCGCCACGAAGGTGTCAAGATGCGAGTCGGTGTCCACACTGGCACCGTGCTCTGCGGCATTGTCGGCACCCGACGCGTCAAGTTCGATGTGTGGAGTAACGACGTCAGCCTGGCCAACAAGTAAGTATTAATACAGTCTCAATCGTCCAGTCCAGATCGGACTGATACAGAAGTTACACAAAATACAATCATTGTATAGAACCTGTCCTTTCCCAGCCTAAATTTTAATTCAAATTTTATGCATCACTTTTGCATCCATTTTCGGCCAATTTCCACTCAGCAGAGTGGATCGATGAATCACATTTTAAAAGCTTTGTATGGATTCTTCAAAAAGAGTTTAATGCTTAACTAATTCTTCTATAATGTTGATCTTAGTAAGTGGAAAGTAGGAAGAAACGAATTTGAGCCCGATTGGATTGTCAGCTCAAAAGTTGCACAACAACCAATTTCCACAAATTTTTCACAGTTGCAGATGAAATTTTGCGAAGCTCCGTCTTATTATTTTGTAACAAATGTCTTAAATATTTCATTCTTTATTTAATATCTGGCAGAATGGAATCCTCGGGCAAGCCAGAACAGGTGCACATCTCGCAGGAAACATCCAGCTTCTTGGGCGACGCCTACTACCTAGAGGAGGGCGAAGAGGTGTTCGGTGAGTACCAAAAGTACCAAGTACTGTTCAGTGCAATGCTTATGTTTCTGTTTATTGTAGGTCATCGCACCTACTTCGTGGTGGGCCGTCGTCGGGACGTTTCCCGTGCCAACAGCCTGAGTCCGAGCATGGCAGCTACAGCCGCCGGCGGCAGCTCCTTGTTGCTGCCTGGGGCGCATGGCCCGTATGCATCGCTGTCGCAGAGTGCCACAAATATATCTGTGGTGCATCCGCATGTGCCACCTGCCTCGCCAGTTGGTCAACTTTCCAACTCTCTGAAGTCATCGCCAGTGCTCTCGATGCGGCCACGCCTAACATCGCTCAGCATGAAACTGCGCAAGAAATCACAAACGCAAAGCCATTCACACAGCCGCGACAGGGATCTGGAGCGCGGCATCATGCATCCAGCTGCCACTGGCATACCGCCAGTGATTGTGGTGCTCGAGAGGCCCAAGATTATCATTACGACCAAGTCGCTGCCGGGCAGCCTGGACTCGGATGAGCAGCCGCCATCTTTGGATCAGCAACAACAGCCGCCGGCGAACATGCCAGACAACCGCTCCAAGCTAAAGCTAAAGGTATTGAAAGTGACCAGATTCCTGAAGCTAACAGGTCGCAAGGACAGGGATAAGGAGAAAGCTAATGGCACAGACAAGGAGGCAGCACGGGCCCATTCGAATTCCCTGCCAGCGCCTGGCGATGAATCGGTGGCTTTCATCGAGCCATCTGCTGGCCCCGTCCAGAGCCAATTGGGCAATGGCTGCGGCTATCAACAGCTGCCGGTGTTGGTAGAGACGGCCTGCAGTACACGCCTAGGCAGTACCCAAATGTTGGACATACCCATGGCCCGGCCAGTACTTCATCATGCAGCTACATCGACGACGCTCTCCAGCAGCGTTATGCGCTCACCGGATAGCACTGCGGCAGCTGCCGGCGGTGGCAGCTGCTGTTCGCCGGGTCAGTATTCCATGTACGATGACATCATCGACGTGCGCTCCTACATAAGCCAATCGCGCAGCGACATCTCGCCATTTGGCCGCACCGGCAGCTATCGTTCCCAGTGCGGCCGTCAGTCAACTGGCCAATCCGTCGGACAAACATTGGAACAGTCGCCAGTGCCGCGTCCACGCGCATCCACCCTGACAGTTGGACGACCATTGGCCACTGAGCCCAGCACCAGTGCCAATGCCAATGCCAATGTCAATGCCAATGCCAATGCCAATGTCAATGCCATTGCAAATGCAAATCCAAATCCAAATGCAAATGCCAATCCCAATCTTAATCTCAATCCCAATCCCAGTTCCAGTGGCTGTTGCTTGGCAGCGCCTGGACCTGGCTCTGGAGCAAACCATTCGCATTCGCGCAACTCCAGCATTTGGCCGGATGGCCTGAGCATCTGCCCGTCGGCCACATCTCGCAAGGATTCGGGCATTAAGAGCAACTCAAGGCGCAGCTCCATTCAGCAGCAGATCTATGCGCTTAATCAGTCGGCCATTAGTCAGCATCGCGTCTCCGGCTATTTCACCAGCTCCACATCAAGCATCTCGAATCTGGGCGAGGCTGGGACGCTGCCCTTTCCATTGCCGCCGCCGCCACCGGTGCTGGTGCCACAGCAGTCCGCACAGCTGGCTGATCCGCTGGCCGCTTGCCTGCAGCAGCTGCGCAAGCAATCCGATCTGCAGCTCATCCGCTGTGTGCGGGACAATGCGCGCTCCCAGCGCAGCTATCTGGTGAAACCGCCGCTGCGGCGCTTCAGCTTGTACTTTAAGTCGCGCCAGTTGGAACGCGACTTTCGCTCCAAGGCACATCGCTTTGGCACCGAGCACGAAACGGAGGGGCCGCCGACACTGGCCACGCCCCGCTACAACACCTATATCGACATCTTTGTGGGCATTGCCGTTTATCTATGCATCTCCATATCGCTCTTTCTGATGACCCAGAACACGGTAACGCCCAGCTTCCGGCTGTGGGTTACCCTCTTCTCCTGCTTCACGGCTATCCAGGTGTTTGCACTGTTCCTCTTTACGCGCCAGATGTGCCGTCGCCATGGCACCCGTCTGCGGTCCAAATCTAGCGCCAGTGAGGCGGTCAACAGCGATGCTGCAGTTCCACAGTCTCGGTCCCAGTCGCAGTCGCTGCCGCTGCCGCAAGCGCAACAGTTTGAATCATGTGCGGATCGCATCTTTGAAGCCATATCCAGCTGGTATCCATGGCACATCTGCTTGGCTGTACTAATGGCCATGCCCGTCGTCCTGATCATAGCCAACTTTCTGCTGCTCGATCTCACACAACTGGAGGCGTTCGAATACCATTATGGATTCCTCATCTTTGTGTGTATCGTGCACTTTTGCAACTTTACACAGCTGAATTGCTGGATGCGCAATATCTTGGCATTTCTAGCCGCACTTTGCTTCATTGGGATCGCCGTCTCCCAGCTGACCGTCTACTCTAGGCGCTCCGAAAGCGAAACGGATCCAGAGCTGGAATCGGAGCTGAACAGCAGTGCGGCGGCATCATTCATCTACGAGGAGATCAAATGGTTTCACGACTATCATGTGGAGATCTATTTGGACCTGCTATTGATACTAGTGCTCGTCTGGTTTCTCAATCGCGAGTTCGAGATTGGCTATCGCTTGACCTTCTACGGAAACGCGGTGGCCAACCAGGACAAGGTGCGCGTCCAGAATATGAAGAACCAGGCGGATATGCTGCTGCACAACATTATACCAAAGCATGTGGCCGAACATCTGAAAAACACGGCAAAGTATTCGGAGAATCATCACAATATTGCCATAATCTTTGCCTCCATTGTCAACTTCAACGAGATGTACGACGAGAGCTATCTGGGCGGCAAGGAGTTCCTGCGCGTACTCAACGAGCTAATTGGGGACTTTGATGAGCTGCTCTCGCATCCAAAGTTTCGTGCCGTCGAGAAGATCAAGACAATTGGGTCCACATTCATGGCCGCCAGCGGCTTAGATCCGTCCCATCGAGGCACAGGCGATGAACATATACACACCTTAATGGAGTTTGCCATCGAGATGCAGCGAGTGGTCAATGAGTTCAACAAGGATCTGCTCGAGTTTAATCTGATTTTGCGCATTGGCATGAACATTGGCGATGTCACAGCTGGCGTAATTGGCACCAGTAAGCTATACTATGATATTTGGGGCGATGCTGTCAATGTGGCTTCGCGCATGGACTCTACGGGTCTGCCCAATCGCATACAGGTGGGCAAGGATTGCCTACCATTTTTGACCGCCTGCTATGAGTTTGAGCCGCGTGGCAGTGTGTACGTCAAGGGCAAGGATCACATGGAGGTATTTCTCTTTACCAGACGCAGGCCGCAACTGGAGGAGCAGCCGGCAAGCGCACAGCTGCCGCAGCTGCAGCTAAACGATTGTAATCCAGATGAGCTAGCAGATGAAGCAAAGGAGGAGCAACAACAGCTGCAGTCAAATGATGTTCAACTTAAAGTGAATGAGGCACAGACTAAAGAGGTGGATCAAATTGAGAATAATGAGAATAATGAAGATGACGATGTTGATGATGATGATGATGATGATGACGATGATGATGATGAAGGCGACCTGCACTCGAGCGAAACAACTACGCTGTTCAAGTCACAGGAATCACTGCATGCAACACACGCAAATGGCGGCAGTCACTTTAATCCAGCTAACACAACCGAAAATTAAAGAGAAACTCAAATCAAATCAAATCAAACTCAAACTCAAATCAAATGAAATGCACACAACTTAAATGAACTCAACTCAATTTCCGGCTTGCAGCACTTGAGAAATGGTTTCAAAATTGCATTTATTGACTGAACAAAATGTGTGTTGGCCAAAACAACAGTTGCCGATGCCGATGCCGCAGTCGCAGCGAAATGAATGTTTGGGAATGTCGGGGAATGTAATCCAAATGATATGTATGTGTATATGGTCGGAGCTGGGGGGGCGGGGCGTGGGGGTAGCGGAAATAAACCGCATTAATTTGTGATATGTAACTAATGTTGAATATGTACGATAATTAGCTGGCACTTGAGCATGGAATGTTGTGTCGCTATTGTTATGTGTTATGGCCGAAGAAGAATGTGTCAGGCGTGTTGAGGATACGTTGATTACACTATACCATATATGCTATATACAATATATGCTATAGCATATAGTTGTGAAGCTAAAACTGGCTCGTAGTACATATGCCAAAAGCACGCACACGAATCGGGCAATGTGTACGTTTTCTTTGTATTAGCCACTTGATATGAATGTAAACTACCAGCAGAACGAGATTTACATACATGTTATATATGTATGTATGCATGTGTGTATATTTAAGTGGTGTAGTTAATTTTTTTTTTTTGTTTTTTTTTTTATTATTTTTGTATCCTAAGTATGTATTTTAATTGTAGCCTAATTTATAAATGTATAAATGTAATGCCAAGATTTAAGTAAATTACACACACACGCTCTTAACTAATGAAAATTTGTGGCTTTAGATGTATTTAATGTGTTTCCCTAGGCTTAAGATATGCAACATATGCATGCATATATGCTTATGCGTGTATTTCCGCGTATGTGTGTGTGTGTGTAATTATTTTTTTTTTTATTATTTTCTTAACTTTAAATTAATTTTATTGCAGTAATTTAAACTAGGTTTACAAACGCGTTGCATAGAACTAACCGATAAAGCAGATTAGCTAATAAATGTTATAAAAGTTGAACTTTACCATAATTTTTTTTTGTTCCGAGAGCAGGAAACAATTAAATTGATGTTGAATGCATTCCATGTGTTATTGTTGTTGCTGTTATAAATGTTGATCTTGTTGTTTGGTGTATAGCAAATTGTTAGACGGGCAACCTCAGCAGCAAACATACATATGCATAATATATAACGTACGAGTACAAAAACAAATACAAAATACAACAAACGAATAACATAAATGTCATAAATAGATGTTATATTCTAACGCAGCAGCACAAAAGTATGCTATGCAAATTTTAAAATATAAAAACTGCTTGCCTACTGCTTGCTCAACTTGCCACACACACACACGCACAACTCTACATAAACATATATGAGACCGCCAAGCGCTTAAACACACACACACACACACAACCAACACAACAACTATTTTATATAGCGTTTATTTGTGCAATCAACTCCTAATGCATTACCAAACCAAACCAAATGGAAACTGAAAAAAGTCTTTCGATTTTGTGTACTTTTCTCTAAGCTAAGCTACTTACATCAGCAACAAAAAATGAATATATTACAAAAATATATAATACAAAAAAAAAAAGAACAAAAATCAAGAAGCAGACGAAACGCTGTAACCTATGGACCCTCTTGTATTTTTATATATGTATTGTGTATGTACTATGTATCAAGTAAAAACAAAAGTATTTTCTACTAATTTATTAAATACTTCTACAGACTTAACTAAATATACATGCATATAGGTACGTACATGTACTTACAAGGCACACATCTATGTATGCATATATATGTGTGTGTAAGTATATAGCTAAATGTACGAGTTTTTTTTCTCCTTTTTGAAACATCTAAGTGTACATAACAAAACTGTATATTTTTATATTATTGATCAGAACAGAAGCGACAGCAAAAACATGTCGAGGTATGGCATATCGAAAGCCGCAACCATCAAAATTTCTGTAAACAAATCAAATAATTGTATTATTATCGTAACGAAATGGCATGAAAATGAAAATTGTTGAAGGCATCTGCTGAAGCTGGCAGCGGGGGAAAGTGTAATTGTAATTGTTTAAGTGTTGATCCAATTTGATGTTGCCGCTGAAATTTTTGTCCACTTTTGGGGCATACTCAAACTAAATAGCCAGCGTTGCGACAGAATCAAAGCATCTATGAAAATCTGTTTTAGCCCCATAAATTTACTAAAAGTGTTTATAGAATTGTTGTACTAGCAAAAATGTATTAATTGCGATTTGAAAAGTCTAAATAAACCGCTGCAGTGTCTATATATGAATGTATACTCTAACCAAAATTATAAATGACTTTCTATTTCTATTGACACACTCTTGGCTGACATTGATCTAACGGCAATGACAAATGTAAGTTATAAGTAAGTAAGTTATATGCCTGCTAAAATATGGCCAATTGCCAAAAAGGGAACGCCTCCCATTGAAAGTATACTGCTGTTAGAAGGACTAGGAGACAATCTTTGGATTTTTCTTCGCTTTTCTTTGTATTGAACAACCAAAATTCAACTAAAACAAGCCATGCCCTAAACTTGCTTATACGTAAAACAATAAAAGGAATATGCACTGATAGGGAGTGCCAGACTAGAAAATACACGGAACCTCGCACGGAGCTACCTTTGGAAACATTCTAGTTTACGTCTATATAATATAATCATTCCTGTGCAGTGAATGCAACGGCTGTTTCTAAACTCTTAATGAATTGTTAATTTTATTCCCTTGTAGACGGTATAATCATATTGGCATTTAAGGTCTTAAGCATCCACTACCCTACATTGCATATATATATTAATTCTTGATCAGTAGCGACAATCAATATAGCCCTGTCCGACTGCCTCCAGTATAAAAGTTGTATTGAAACAAATATTCATTTCAGAATTACTTTGGCCTTGTGTACTCATCTTTAAAGATTATCCAAACATCTCCTAAGCAGCATAATGTTTTGAATGTGTTATCATATTACGAATAAAATGAAAGATAATATCAAAAGCTGCGAGATATCTGGCGTTTATTGATAAAATGCTGAAACAGAAACTAAAGGCGGACAATGCCAAAGCAAAATACTTTGACGAGCAGCCGAATCTGGCCAAGAGTTGCGCTACCGCCACGAAAAAATGTAGAATCGCTGGCTTCTCTGTGTGTGAACGTCCACAACGGGCTATCAAAACTATAGAATTTCATTTCCCCAAAAATTGATTTCAACAAAATTGATCAGTCGATGTCGCACAGCGAACGCCTGAGGCTATCTTTACACATGCAACAGGTGTCATGAAGTATATAAGTAAGGTGCAAGATTGGTTGGAAATGGTGCATGATGGCAGCCAGCGAAGCTTGACTTCATTGAATTCTTCTCGCCAAATACCAGTTTCACTTATTTTTTCGTGCAGTGTATTATTGTGCTGCCAACAGCATTTGTCGTTGCACAACACTATTTGTGCCTCCAATCACCTAATTAGCGAAGCGTACCTGTAGTTGAGCTATATATATTGATATAAGATAAAAAGCGTCAGAAAATAATTTTCGAAACTTTTTCGATGATTTTTTTTTAATATCTCGGGTAGTAGCTCCGCGCGGAGTTATGATATTCCACAACGATAGAACTCCGCACGGAGAAATGACCTTCCAAATCAATTTTTTTTTTTTCAAAATCGAGGTCGCTGCGAAAATCGAAACTTTGTCGATGATTTTTTTTTAATATCTCGGGAAATAGCTCCTCGCGGAGATATGACGTTCCAAAACGACATAACTCCGCGCGAATATGATTTTTATGTTTTTTTCAAAATCGTGGTCGGTGCGAAAATCGAAACTTTTTTGATGATTTTTTTTTAATATCTCGGGTAATAGCTTTGCGCGGAGATATGACGTTTCAAAACGACATAGCTCCGCGCGGAGATATGACCTTCCAAATCAACACAATTTTTTTCAAAATCGAGGTCGGTGCGAAAATCAAAACTTTTTCGATGATTTTCTTTTGAATATCTGGGATTATAGTTTTGCGCGGAGATTTGACGTTCCAAAACGACATAACTCCGCGCGGATATGATTTTTACGATTTTTTTCAAAATCGAGGTCGGTGCGAAAATCGAAACTTTTTCGATGATTTTTTTTTTTATATATCTCGGGTCAATAATGTCCGATTTTAAAATGTTATACCTTTTTGAATGCGTACGGATCCCTACCATCAATTGGCATTCAAACAAATAAATCATCGATGGGTTGAAAAATGTTGTTGACAAAAAACCGATTCGTTCGTAAATTCCATCTTTTTGATGATTTTTTGGAATATTTCCGTCAAATAATGTCCGATTTTGGAATTTTATACCATTTTTGACTCGTAAGGATCAGTTCTATCGATTGGCATAAAAAAGGAAATCTAAAATTTTGAACCAAAATCGACAAAATGGCAAGGGGTTACATCACTTTTTTTTCAAAGTCGAGGTCGGTGCGAAAATCGAAACTTTTTCGATGATTTTTTTTTAATATCTCGGGTAATAGCTCCGCGCGGAGATATGACGTTTCAAAACGACATAACTCCGCGCGGAGATATGACGTTTCAAAACGACATAACTCCGCGTGGAGATATGACGTTTCAAAACGACATAACTCCACGCGGAGATATGACCTTCCAAATCATCACGATTTTTTTCAAAATCGAGGTCGGTGCGAAAATCGAAACTTTTTCGATTATTTTTTTTTAATATATCGGGTAATAGCGCGGAGATATGACGTTTCAAAACGACATAGCTCCGCGTGGAGATATGACGTTTCAAAACGACATAACTCCACGCGGAGATATGACCTTCCAAATCATCACGATTTTTTTCAAAATCGAGGTTGCTGCGAAAATCGAAACTTTTTCGATGATTTTTTTTTAATATCTCGGGTAATAGCTCCGCGCGGAGATATGACGTTTCAAAGCGACATAACTCCGCGCGGAGATATGACGTTTCAAAACGACATAACTCCGCGTGGAGATATGACGTTTCAAAACGACATAACTCCACGCGGAGATATGACCTTCCGAATCATCACGATTTTTTTCAAAATCGAGGTCGCTGCGAAAATCGAAACTTTTTCGATTATTTTTTTTATATATCGGGTAATGGCTCCGCGCGGAGATATGACGCTTCAAAACGACATAACTCCGCGCGGAGATATGACGTTTCAAAACGACATAACTCCGCGCGGAGATATGACGTTTCAAAACGACATAGCTCCGCGCGGAGATATGACCTTCCAAATCATAACGATTTTTTTCAAAATCGAGGTAGGTGCGAAAATCGAAACTTTTTCGATGATTTTTTTTTAATATCTCG